GGAACGGCTTCTTGCCCTTGTCCTTGGAGCTATCCTTCTTTTGGAACTCAACAAGCGACTTGGCCACCTTTAACGCCCGATCGATGTCCTGGACTTCTCTCCGTTGTAGCTCAAGTTTGGCCCAACGGTTGAGACCGTCCATGAAAGTAAAGAACGCCTCCTTGGGCGAGAGATCCGGAATTTCAAGCATCAAGTCCGAAAATTCCTTAACGTATTCCCGATTTGGCCTTCCCTATGGTGCGGACGACGAAGCTTGGCCCGGCTTCGTCTTCCGCATCCACGGGTAGGAAATACTTTCTAAACTCTTCCTTAAAACCGTCCCACGTGGTGAAGACCGGGTCTCCATCCCCCACGGGTTTCATCATACGTTTCCACCATGATAAGGCACTATCTTTAAGATAAAGAGAGGCTTGGAAGAGTCTTACCGAGTCGTCCATGATATTCATAGCCCCAAAGTACTGTTCCATGCTGTAGAGAAAGTTCTCTACGTCCCTCAAGCGACGGCTGCCCTTATATTCGTCCGGCTTGGGCGCCTCAAGCCTTGGAACCGTCCCCACGGCTCCGGTTGTCCCTTGCACGGCCACGGCGTCAAGCCGTGCCTTAAGACGCGCCGATTCTGCCCGAGAAGTCTCCAGCTCCCCCATAAGCCGGTTGACGTCGTCTTGGAGGGCGGCAACACGAGCAAGGCTTTCCTCCTTCGACTTGTTGCAACGTTCCACCATTTCGTTGAGCGTCCCTAGCAAGTCGTCCTTCATTTGCTGCATGACCTCTTGCAATTCCCCTGCGAATCGCTCCATGCGAGCTTCGACGACCCCCGCTACCACCTCAGGGTGCTCGTCCCAACGGTCTTGGTGGTCGGCCATAGCAAGCTCTAGCTTAGCAAGCCGTTTCTCGAATTCCACCATCGGCTCTCTAACGACCGACTTCTCCTTGCGGCTTCCTTTGCGGGTGGTCCTCCCCACCTCGCAGGAAACGTGATCCCCCTCAAGCTCCGACCCTTGAACAACCTCCGAAGGGTTGGACATAGCTTATGCACGAAAGAAAACCAACAAACGGAAGCGTAGACGATGTAACACACCAAGTATCGAGCCGAGGCTCTGATACCAACTGTCACGGGCTTACTTTTTCAAAGTAACGGCCGTGCGGCACTAGCACAAAACAACTAACGATCAAGTGCTAGCTCAGCCTTAAGACCCCTAAAGCGTGCAAAGCTAGGCAAGGCTTTAAAGAACGGAGGCCAAGAAAAACTTAAGAAAGGTTGAAAGTGAAAGAACGATGAAGGCACAAGAGAGCTTAAGGAATGCTTGAGAATTCTACTCAAAGCTTGGATGGATTACAAATGAAGGGGGCATGGGGTATTTATAGGCAAACCCCAAGTCCTAAAGAATTCTAGAGAATTCTATGTACATAATAAAATAATGGAATTCTAGAGAATTCCTACAATAAAATATTCTAAGTTCAAAATATCTACAAGTCTCTAGAATCTTCCATACGGTTCTAGCAAACTCGGGTAGCTTCCACACGGTTTCACCCGTTTCTAGAGATTTCCGGGCCTCTCTAGAAAATTCCAGAGTCTTCAAGATTTGACCGGAGAATTCCACAAGGCTCTAGACCGTTCCGTCCCATGTCCGTCTACGAAAATAGCCTGTTTTGCAGCAAACCACCCGAATTCGTGGGGAAGAAAAACTGTCCGTGACACAGATCCGCTGCTTTATCTTCGGCAGAGCCTTCATCACGGAACTTCATCGTCAACCGTCAGCCTTAATTTTCTGCCGAATTCATCATTGGCGGCTGAGACAACAGCCGGTAGAAATATATTCGCTGCAACCTTCGGCCTTGGACGCTGTTGAACCTCACGTTCGACTACGGTGGCCATCGTTAGCGGTGGAAGCCGCCACTAGCATCAAATCCAACGTTCGCGATCAAGATTCGGTCCTTTTTCTTGCCAAGGAGATACCAACCGTCGGACGTGATTTCATTGGCAGCGTCCAATCTCGAAGTTATCATCACCTTCGTCATCGACCATCAGCCTGATCGTCCGCCGTAATCGTCATCGGTGGTCGGAGCTTTCATCGACAAAGAACTTAGTCGTCGGTTTCAGCCGTGGCTTCATAACTGCCGTGGGAAGCCAACCCCCTCGGGCTAAGTTGCAGCAGGCATCGGCGTCCGGCACCGAGGCCACCATTGGCGTAAGCTAAAATCCGAAGTCATTGTCAGGAGCTGTCATCCTCGACGGATTGCGGCCAGTGCTTCGACTCCAGCCTCGGTCAAATGTCCTGTTCGAAGCCAGGAGCGGGGGGAACCTAGGATAAGATTAACAAATCCTGTTGGCTGCTCCATATAGACAGTTTCTTTTAAATGGCCGTGAAGGAATGCATTTTTGACATCTAGTTGGCGGGTGGTCTAGTTAAGTGACAAAGAAAGAGCTATAACAAGTCGAATGGTAGTTGATTTAACTACGAGACCCGATATTTGAGTAAATTCTTTTGCCACGAGACGAGCTTTATAACAATCAAGGCTCCCATCTTATTTAGTTTTTACTTTATAGACCCACTTGGATCCAACAACATTAACCCCTTTTGGTCGAGGGACAAGCAACCAAGTTTGATTGTCATGTAGTGCTCGAATTTCCTCATGCATAGCATTCAACCATTGAGGGTCTTTCAACGCAGTTTTGATGGTTTTAGGATCCAGTGGAAGGGAAGGAGCGGTAGTACAAGTGTAGCATAATTCTTAAGGTAATATGGGAGACGACGATCTCGAGGCGGAAGATTTAAACAAGGTTCTGAAGAAGAAGGAAGAGCTTCTGTTTCTGTGACATGAGAGGGGGATGAATCAATTTGAGTTAGAGGTGGATAAGTTGAGTTTGGTGAATCAGGGAAGTGGGAGGATTGACTACTACCTACTTGGGTGGTGTCAGAATTGTGTTGCGGGGGAGAGGATGGTTCATTTAGAGATAAATTTTGATTTGAGATAGAATCTAATGGTTTTTCAGTAGGTTGAGGAGACAAACGCAGTGCATTCAACTTGGTGATTTTTTCTTCAATTACTGGAGGTCCTGCAACTAGAGAGTTAGTACCACTAGTAGGGGATATAGAACTAGAAGTTGAATCATCAGAAGGAGATTTTATCCATTCATCTTGATTGGGATATTCAGAAATGAAAAATAGAAAAGAAATGAAAGCTTTCTTTGTCTCATTCTATCACATCAGCAGTTCAATTAGATACAGCTCTGAAGGAAGGCATTTTAGCCAAAGATTTTCAAATGTATTTGTCTGGATGGCTGCGGGAAAGGGGAAATAATCAAACCCAAATAAAAATCAATTCTTGGGAGCCATTGACATTGTTCTGGCAGCATCAAAAGTTCTACAACGATTCCAATACCAACCCTTTTGTTCGGAATCAAAAACTCATCATTTTAATCAAAATTCCATGCCAAACATGTCACAAAAATGTAAGAAACGAACACTTCAGAAAAAAAAAAAAATTCTTGACAGATAGAGGAACATCAGAATTCATACCAAAACTTGGAGAGAATCAAAACAGAAATTGAGGAGATATGAACGGTAAAACCCGAACCTGATTGAAAAGCTAAGCAATAATCCATAGAGCTTCCCATTCCATTCAAAAACTGGAAGTATTTCTATGCTAAATCTGCAAACTTGGACCAATTCCAATTGGCCAAAGTTGATGAAAGCTTAAATCTCAACAAAAGACAGAAGTAGCTTTTTAAAAGTTCAAACTTTTTCAACTGCAGAAGTAAGGATGCAAAACCATGATTTTACATTTGAGGAATTACCTGAGAGTTTTTTCGAGTCATCGGCCTTCTTAAATTCAGGCCAAAAAGGAATCTACTCCAAAGTGGGAATCGACTCGGCTTTCATCTGGCTGTCAACGAAATCATAATCGGCAAAGAGTAATTGAGGCCTTTTCAGACATCCACCGCCGGCTACATCAACAATTAAAAACAAAATTTGAAAAAAATGAATCTTCACCCGTTTAAGCATGAACATACAATCTAAATATGTTGTCCTATATGTTTGAAATTGAGAAAAAATAAATCTAAAAAAAAAATAAAATTAAGCATCAGAACCCTAATTCATCCAAAAATCTGCTCCTAGGAACCGCGCCGCCCTCGCTTCTCGGTCGGTTGTTCATCAATCAACCCTCTCCTCTTCAAATAGTCATCAACTGGCCACAAAAGTCAGCGACGATTGAAGAGAACCCTATGATTCAAATTGAAGAAGTAGGGTAGGGGGGAAAAAGGAGTTTAGGTGATGGCTAACGTTTCGCAACCAAAAAAAAAAATTAAAAAAAAAGTTTGGCCGTCATATCTTCTATTTAGCGCCGCTTTGAGCTTTAGGTTCATCATCGATTTAGGCTTAAGGAAGCGGAATTGAGGAGAGACTCGCCGGCATTCTGTTTCATCGAAATTGAAACCTAAAGGTAAGGAAACGGAATGGAGGAAATCTATTGAAATTTTCTAAATAATGAACAAATTTTTAATTTTGAAATTAATGATATTATTAATCAGCAACGATAAAGTGCAATCAGCGCTGAAAATGGGGGAGTTTTCCCCACTATATGAGACATTTACATAGACATTTAGAGAGATTATATATGGAATAATTTCTATCCCTTAAATTGAGGGATTCATTTGAACTGATTCATTCTCTAGAAAGTAGGATTTTCAGAACTTATTTTGTGTTAAAATTTGCTGCTCATTAGTGAAGCCACGTGTCCACTTTTTGTAGCTTTAGTTTTGTACTGTAAATGGTTTTGGAGGGAAAATTTTATTTGTGATGCTGACACATGTCCAGAATGTTTGTTGCTTTAAGTAAGTACACTAGATATATACTATAGGTTAAAATTTTTAACTCAATTATTTTTGTTGTATTTACCATATCAACGTCCAAAATTATAGTTGGATTTTTTTTATAAAAAAATGGAAAAATAGAAAAAAAATGGAAAAATAGAAAAAAAAATGGAAAAATAGATCTATCAAAAACGACAAACAACCGTGAGTACAGTCGGTCCGCGCGGACTCACGGACTTAATTTCAGATATTATTTTTGGAAAAAATTCACAACTTTATATTATTTTCTATTAGTTTTAAAAATTTCACAATTGTTGAAAGAAGGCATTAATGGTGATCATGTATGAGTTGGATATATAATAAAACAATCAGTCCGAAGTAACGAGAAAATCAATCAGAAGTTTCAACCACTTTCGATCCTTCATCATCTTTTAAGAGGTACTAATATCATTTCTCTCTATCATCAAATCTAAGTTATCCGATTCATCATTTGTTGTTATCTGCAAATCTCTCTGTCTTTTTTTTATGTTTATCTGATTCTCCACTCCAGCAGATCTGATCCTTCGATTCGATTGTTTTATGCGCGTATCTGGCCCTTTTTTTTTTCTTTTTAATTATTATTTGTTTATTTAGTGGAGGAGCTGTGATCATGTTTGGATTTTGTCCGATTAATAGAATTGATGGGTTGATCTTTCTTGTTATTATTCCTGATCTATCTTTTGATTTGATCTAATGATTTCCCCTTTGGTATTCCCGCCTACCCAGATTCTCTCGTTATTTGATTTTGCTTGCTTAGGATACACTTGACTGATCGGCTATGGATTTTGCAAAACACTGCATCTCTTTTTGCTGTTCTGTTTGGATCAGGTTACTGCCTCTGTTGAATTAGTTAAATGAAGCAAATGAAATGGTTTAACTCATCTTACCATTGAATTAGTTAAATGTATCACTGGGAGTGAGTGTTACTGCCACTGTTGTCTGTATTCTTTACATTTTCCAAGTTGGCTTGGCCTGGTAATTACTTAAAGAATAGAAACTTGGCTTGGCCTGGTAATAGTTCAATTTCCAAGTTGGAAGCTGATGTAGTGTAACACTTTCATGTATAAGTGGTCGCCCATTGCCTAGTTGTTTCTTTTCTAGTTTTTGTATAAAGTAGATAAATTCAACAGGTTGGCTATGGTTTGGAATGGATTGCATCTCTTTTACTGCTTTGTTTGGATTGTGAACTTTCGTAGCTTAGCTAATTGGTTTCAGTGTATGATTGGGGAGCTTCTGTTATTTTACGGTTTTAAGTATCATCTGCTTTGTTAGCAGTTAACTAAATAACTGCTCTATCTGAACAATCATCGGATTACATTTTCTCCCTTTTGCATTCTAATGATGTATGAGGTGCTGGCGAAGCCCCAAGGATTCCTGCCATATGAACTGAGCTTTTAGTTCTAATAGTTAAATTGAACCTTGCCTGCCTCTTGTCTTTTCGGTTTTGCTACAAGAAACTTCTTGACTTGGATTTTTCTCCCTCTTATCAAAATCTTTTCTTTGCTCTTGCTGGTTTCTCATAGTTTTCTTTGTTGTTCACTTGTTTTAATCAAGGCATGGCATCATCGGATAATCCCGAGATCCTTGACAGGGGTTTCAAGGACAAAGATGATAAAGAGGAAAAAAATGACGGAGAAAAGGGTGGATTCATTGATAAAGTGAAGGATTTCATTCATGATATTGGTGAGAAGATTGAAGAAACTATAGGGTTCGGAAAACCCACTGCAGATGTTACTGACATTCACATCCCTAAAATCAATCTTGAAAAGGCAGACATTGTCGTTGATGTCTTGGTGAAAAACCCGAACCCAGTGCCAATCCCCCTTATCGACATTAATTACTTGATTGAGAGTGATGGCAGGAAACTAATATCCGGGTTGATCCCCGATGCTGGTACCATCCACGCCCACGGCTCTGAGACTGTCAAAATTCCTCTGACTTTGATATATGATGACATCAAAAGCACCTATGCTGACATCAAGCCCGGAAGTATCATTCCTTACAAGATTAAGGTTGATCTTATAGTGGATGTGCCTGTTTTTGGCAGGCTGACTCTACCTCTGGAGAAGAATGGAGAGATACCAATTCCATATAAGCCTGATATTGACCTTGAAAAGATTAAGTTTGAGAGGTTTTCTTTTGAGGAAACGGTCGCCATACTTCATGTGAAGATTGAAAACAAAAATGAGTTTGATCTGGGGCTCAATGCCCTTGATTATGAGGTTTGGCTGGCTGATGTGAGCATTGGTGGTGCTGAATTGGAAAAATCAGCTAAGATCGACAAAAATGGTATCAGTTATGTTGACATTCCCATTACTTTTAGGCCAAAGGACTTTGGCTCTGCTCTTTGGGACATGATCAGAGGTAGAGGAACTGGCTACACCATGAAAGGAAACATCAACGTGGACACACCTTTTGGGGCGATGAAGCTACCAATCAGCAAAGAGGGTGGCACTACTCGCTTAAAGAAGAATAAGGAAGATGGGGGTGATGATGATGACGACGAGGTTTGTTTGTCTTCCTTTTCCATTGTAAACTGTTTTTCTTCCCCATTGATTTTATCGTACTATTTTGTGCATATTCCTGTCTTTCAGCCAATCTTGATAATGAGCGTGCTCATTGTACATGCAAGTGTATACAGATTTTGGATAAAATGGACCCTTTTCAGGAAATAGTGTCTTTTCATTCTACTGGGCTTAGTAATTTAATATGGTATTCTCTCATATTAGTACTGCTGATCAATCTCTGGGAATAGGACTTCCCATTAATTTCATTGTCAGGAGATGATTTTATCAGCTTAATAGCCTTTTTATTGATGAAGGGGTGGGCATAATCACTTGGTCGAGAGTGACATAATCTGTAACATAATCTTAACAGTATCCTGTTTGTTAGTGGATACATGATCTTTTCCTCCTGTTGTTCAAAGTTTTGCCCTTTTCGCCTGCAGGATTGAAGAGTAACCCCGTAATGGAAGTTTGGAAATGTCACACTTCAAGTTTCTTACACGGTTTGTTTCGGAGCTGTAGTACACAAACAGAGGCAACTTCAGTTGTATTACTTAAATAGCTTCTAGTAGTATAATGGACAGGACTTTTCTCAGAATCTGTCTGTACTCTGTAGTTTGGGGTTTCTTTTGTTTGGTTGGCCTCAGGATGTCGCAGACATTTTGTGCATGCTTTCATTTTGTCTGAAGCACTGCTTATTGTATTTTGATATCTGAAACTATATGACGAAATGTTACTACGATGTTCGTTATTTGGAAATGGTTGGTACATTTTACTGATCCAATGTTGACATGAGAAGGTTGGCTTGTTAGACCTGACATTGTGTTTTTTTTTGCATTACATGGAACCACAGTTGCAACTATGAAGTTGTTGCTATTACAGGTTTCATTCATTTCGTTGTGTAGTTTGATTTGGAGTTTAGGTGAGGTTTCATGTATTTGTATGGCAAGGTAAGAACTGAAGGGACTTTGGTTTTGGTCCCAAACTGAAGAAGGCATGTGAAGTTTGATGGTTGATATTGCTGCTGATTACAATTTAGCTTCCTCCCCTTTGCGGTGGGGGGGGTAATAGACAATAAATAGGTAGGGGGTAGCAGACAATAAATAGGTTCTACCACATCCTTTTTAGAATTGCGTGTCAGATTTTCATGCCGGAGTACTGGCACCATATTTGTTGTGACCACCAGGGCATGGCGCCTGCTGCCTTGACCGGGTATATTTCACTCCAGTAAGAGACTAGTTGCTATTTTAGCTTGCAGGTTATTCAATGGCAAGAGCTGGTTAGTTGGTATTTTAGTTTTTTTTTTTTTTTGAGTAAGAGTTGGTATTTTAGTTTTTTTTTGTGAAAACGGTTCCTGTATTTTAATGAGAACCTACATTTTACTATAAGTTACTTTGTGAACTTCCTCTACCTCTAGTCTACTTGTTTTAGTAATAAGACAGTAATTAAAACTAGTACGTAAGGTCCGCAACAAAGACACTATTTCTTGAGGGATTAGCGAACTATTGAGATCTTGGGTCAGCATCTCACATTCTGTCAATACTTTGATTCGGTCTAATCCAAGCGTCGAAGCTTTCTTCATTGTCAGGAGACAAGTTAATGCCTCAGCTTGGAAGGGGGATAGGGAGTTGAGTATGACAGCTTTGATTTGCATAACCATGTCATTATGAGATCTTAGTTTTCATTCTCCTGCTGCACTATGTGACTGAAGATCATATGATCCATCAATCAAAATGGAGGAGCAATCTCTTGATGGAAGTTGTTGCGCAGAGCTTGGAAGAACATTCTGTTGTTGATCCTTTTGCGAAATCTCTTCTTGTGACAATAAAAGTCATGATGAATCTGTTGCCAATGAACAAAAGGATCTGAATCTTGATTCCGCCAGACTTTATTGTTCCTTCCCAACCATATCTACCAACGAATAATGAAGTGAAACTCAATATCCAAAAGTGTCGGCCCAACTTGCATCCAAATCATGAACCATTCCAGTAAGGAAGAAGTAGAATTATTCATAACGTTTGCATAAATTGGTGGCGCTGAATTCTAAATTGCTCTGGAGTGCGGGCATTCCAAAAACAAATGCATAATCGACTCTTCTTCTAACAGACATCAAGGACAGGTACTAGACACTGGAATGCCTCGCTTCTGTAATGCAGTTCTTGTTGGCAATGCATTTGAGATTGCTCGCCAGAAAGTCATTTTCAGTTTAGGTTGTACTCGCGAGTTCCAGAGTTTTTTCCAAACCATGGATGGATTGGGGGCCTGCATAGGTTGATTTAAAACCTGAGCAGGTTGATTAGTAACCCGTGGTTGCTGATATAGGTTAATTGCTTCATGGTATCCAGACTTAACAGTGTAGCTATCATGTTTTTCTCTAGTCCAGATTAGTCTATCATCATGATGTCGCCTTGTTGAATCCACAAAGATCCTGGTAATGTGAGGGATAATGGAGAATGGAAACAGATTCTGAATTACAGGTATTTTCCATCGACCATCCTCCCTGATCAAATCTTGAACTTGGAGATCAGAGTGTATTGTTAGTACTGAGGTAGCTTGTATGGGATTCCCATGTGCAGGAATCCAATCATCATGAAGTCGGATATCTTTCTCTGAAATTATCTTCCATTTAACTTTATCCTTCAACAACTATGCACCCCACAACACACTCCTATACCTCCATGATGGATGAGTTGGTGGTCTTATGGAGGGAAGGTGCCATTATTGCAAAATTTATCCCTGTATAGCGGAGAGAGAAGTGAGTTTGGATTGGCCATGATCTTCCACGAATGCTTTGCCAACAAGGCCTGATTGAATTCCTTGAGAGACTTTAATCCAAGGCCACCATGAAATTGTTATTTGCTGATCTTTCGCCAAGATTTCCAATGGATGCCTTTCCCTTGCAGGTCTCCTTTCCGTATGAAGCGTGCAACACTGGATTCTGCTTTATGAATTGTTTCCTTTGGAAGCTGAAAGACCCCCATTGGATATACTAGCATTGAGGCTGAGGATGATTTTGCCAAGGTGATCCTTCCACTAAGAGAAAGAAGCTTGTTTTTCCAGTCTGCAAATTTATTAGACAACTTAGACGTAAAGGTCTGAAAGATAACCTTCTTTTTCTCTGAGAAGTCAAGCGACATTCCTAAATAGCGGCTTTGAAAAGTGTCTTCTGGAATTTGCAGAGTGGAATGAATAAGGGACTTCATCTCCAAGGTGGTGTTTGAACCGAGTAAGATTGAAAACTTGATGAGGTTAATCTTTTGGCCTGAGAAAGCTGCATGTTCCTGGATGATACCTGCCAAGGCGAGAATTGAGTCTTCCTTGCATTCAACAAAGAAGAGGTTGTCATTTGCATACATTAAATGGCTCACTCTCGGTGCTTGCTTGCAAATTTGGATTCCTAATCCTGGAAAGTCTTATTTTCCAGTCTGATTACAGAGGAGAGGACTTGTTGACATAAGATAAATAAGTACGTGGACAACAGACACCCTTGTCTAAGACCACGCTTTGGGGAGAAGAACCTCTGATTTTTTCCATTAAATTTGATGGAAAAGGAGACCGTAGACACACCGAACATAATCAGTCTGATCAAGTTTGCTGGGATACCCACCTTTGTTAAAACTACTTCCAAGAATCGCCATGAAACACGGTTATGCTTTAGTCATGTCTAATTTAACTGCCGCCACACTCAGAGGACCATTTTCTTTCTAATATGCTCCACCATGTCATGAGCAATTAAGATGTTCTCTGCTATATTTCTGCCTTGCACAAACCCATTCTGATGCTCATTCATAATAATATTCATCAACTCTTTGAGACGGTTGGTGATCATCTTGGTAATAATTTTGTATTTTGTGTTACATAAACTGATGGGCCTGAAATCTCCTGGTACCACTGGATTTGTGATTTTAGGGATCAAAGCAATGGATGTTTGATTCTACTCAGGTGGAAAATGTTGTGTGCATGGCTTCTAAGATGGAAGTTTCAAGGTCTGTACCAATAATGTTTTTATACTTTTGATAAAATCCTGCTGGAATCTCATCCAGCCCTGGGGATTTCCAAGGTGTCATTTGCTTCACTGCCTTCCAAATTTCCTCCTTGGTAAAAGGTTGTGCCAAAGCATTAACTTGATCCTGGGGGATACTCTCCTCAACTTTATTGATGTGTGCCTGAAAGAAAGAAGATTGAAAATTTTGTACAGAACCTAGAGCCACATATATATCTGCAAAATGAGTATGAGTAAGATCAGCCAGAAATGCTTGATCCTGTATCCATGTGCCTGTTTTGTCTTTCAATTCTGTGATCCATTTATTTCCTCTACGCCTTTGCGCCCATCTATGAAAGTATTTGGTATTTTTATCCCCTTGTAGAGACCAATTAACTTTAGCTCGTTGCTGCCAAAATTCCTTCTGATGCTGTAGAGCCTCTTCATACACTTCTTTTTTGGCACTGAAATTGGGATAGACGAAGTTGGCTTGAAGAATCTTCTTCCCATTTCAGTTGGGAATTTTGAAGAAGTCCAAGTTGTTTAGCCACATATTATCAATATTACCAAAATGATTTTTTCTCCACGTATGCAGCTTTGTAAGGCTTCCATGTAGTTTGTAGGACAACTTCTCCTGCACAGATTGGATCTGCAAATTTTCTTTTGGCCAGGTTTCCTGAATTATATTGTTAGCTTGATCACAATTAGTCCAAAACTGCTCAAACTTCCTCCTTTTCCGGGATCTTGTTCTCTTTTCCTTCATACTCAGAATAAGGGGGCCATGATCTGAGTTTGCAATAGGCAAATTATGCACCATTGCTCTATTGAAGTACTGCTGCCAATCTGAGGTTGCAAAAGCCCTGTCCAATCTCTCATAAATTAACTGAGAGTCTTGACGATTATTGGACCAAGTAAACCAACATCCCAGGTGCCTTAGCTCGTCTAGATGGTTGTGCTGTAAGAAATTGCGAAGACACCTAGCATCTTGATCTCTAACTTGTCTACCACCTAACTTATCCTCCTGATTTAGTACTTGATTAAAATCACCTAATATCACACAGGGATAACATAAACTACTAATAGTAGTATTTAAACTATACCAAAAGCTGGCTCTTCCTTGTTGTGAAGGAATACCATACACAAAAATGGCCAACCATACAAGTCCAAAAACTTCAGTGATCCTAGCCACTATTACATTTTGCATAATGGGTGATCACTTTCAGATTATTACTATCTAACCAAAATAAGCATAAGCCTCCACTTCGACCAACTGGGTCTACTACAAAAGAGTGGAGGTAAGGAAAAGATTGCTGCCAAACTTCTACTGTTTCCTTACTAGCCTTAGATTCCATAATATATAAAATACTAGGGTTATACTGCTTCACTAGTCTATTTAAGAAGAAATTTTCAGAAGGCTGGTTGGGTCCTCTGCAACTCCAGGACATAATACTCATTTTGGTGAAGACGGTTGATCTGGCTCAACCATCGCAAAGCTCTTCAGATTATCCAACACTGCATCAAGCACCAGAGTCTGATTATTCTGCTCCTGGCCACTTGCTCCTTCGCCTTGACCCCACTTCCTCTTTGATGGGGAACTCAGCAACTCCTCCTGGGGACTGTCTGAGCTTCTCTTCTAGCCAGTTTCTGAATCTGATGACTCAAACAGCAGATCAAAATCAACCTTCATCCTCCAAGTACTTGACTTCTTAGAGGGAGTGGTAGCCGTGGGTCCTCTCTGTGCTGCTTCTGATGAGACACACTTCTGCCTGAATGCCTGCGCAGCTGATGTAGAAATCTTAAACACCTGTACCACTTCAGAATCTGACACCGCCTTTCTTACTTTCATTTGACACTGGTTGACCCTAGAGTCTGAATTGTAATCTAACTCTTCATCCAACGAAAAAATAGTCATCGACCATCATTTTCTCTCCCGGTTTGCATCCATGGACACCTTCTTCTTCCTGCGCAAGGCTCTAACTAATCTAGCCTTTCTACTATTTCTATTACAGTGAGACTTCCTAGATACAGATTTATCAGAAGAGTAATACATTTGAGCAGTAAACAATCCAGGTCCAGAATTTTCAGAAACAGTCAGTGTGGGAATACTGCCATTCACCTGACTAGACAAAGCAATATTTTCATTCTCAACTACAGTAATGTTATCCCTAAAACTTGATTCTGAGTCTGATAAAATAACATCCAGTACAGAGTTAGGAGAATCAGTGACATCATCAAAAGGAGAGAAATCATGAATATCCGGGATAAACATAGAAGGAACATATGAAACCGAATATGACAAATCCTCTGGTAGAGGCACCTCAGGAATTTGATAAAAAGATTCTGGCATATCCTTATCAGAGTATGGAAAGCTAGGATTATCCAAATGCTCTGAGGCCTTAAAAAGGGATGAGGATGTATGGAAACTACCTGAATCCGAGTCTGATTGAGGTTATTCTATATGGAGCCTCTGAAAGCCCACATCTCGCCTGGGATCTTCCGCCGCTGCCGGTGCCACTCTCCAATCAGTATCCAAATAACCATTCTCCTTGATAGCATTTTGTAAGAAAGCTAACAAACTGTTTGAAGCTGAGGGTTGTTGCAGAGGGTCGTCACGATGGTACTCATCCGAATCAGCATCATGATTATTATGCGGGCTATCTCCTTGATCATTATCGTCATCATCATTCTGATCATCATCATCATTACCACTGTCCTTGTCTGGTGGATAAATTGGGTACCAAGCAGCTGGATGAGGCTCATCCAATTCTGTGATCTGGAAGCCATCTTGAACATAATGCTCTGGCATCGTAATAGTCTTGCAGTTGCAAATACTTATTGAACTTGATTCTGGTGCAGCGCCTCTTCTTATGTCCATGTGCCCTCATTAAGCTAGGGAATAGAGGTCTGTTTGGATCGATGTACAGAGGAGAGCCATTCTGAATCGCCTTCTTCATGAAAAAGGCATCCAAGGATTCCTCCAGCGCATGTGACAGTGCTGAAGTGGATATCCCAACCGACCATACCGTTTGTAGAATTTGTGAACATTTTCATATTTGCACTTTATTTTTGCTAACCTGCCATTTCGCTTTTCAAAATAAAAGCCTGGAGTTAAATGATCTCCTGGCTGCACCCATACCTTAGCCCTGACATAAGTAGCTTTTCGCTAGGACATACAGTCCTCCTTGGTGAGAGCAATGTCTCCCACATTTTTAGCAAGATCCCTGGCTCCCAGGTAATTCAAGGCTGTAATTGGAGCTCCATGCATTCGCACCCACATGCTCAACTTGTCAATTCGGATTGAATCTAGGGCCAAATCTTCATGGTCATGACATCAGCAAAGTATCAGAAGGCCGCCTTCAATTGCATATGGACCATTGTCCAGAACAGTAAGCAGATCAACCTTGCTAAGGAATTTGATAACAAAAAAATTCCCATCATAATGCAGAATTCACGTGTACATAGGCCAATTCTCATTGAGATACTGCTGCATGCGAATGTTATCAAACTCCCTGTCATCTAAGAGACAGCCCCAGCACAATAATGGAAAGTATAGATATGCCGTAGATCTGGGTCTACCGGCGGATTAAAATCATAGTGCTCCCCAAAGAATTCTGGCCCATCAATAGACATAGCAGTGGCTGAATCTTCATCAATCACATGTCTGTGATTCATTGTGCTGACACTAGTACAGAAAAAAGGAAGTTGACAGTTGGTGTATGAGTACTATCAGAAGGATCTGAGTTTAATAAGCCAGAGTAGAAGACAAAAGGGACTTTAAGAAAAAGAAGACAAGGAAGATGAAGAAACAAGAAGGAATAAATGTTGGTAAGGGAATCGAAAAGGACTCCTGTCTAGATTTGTTGAACGAATGTCTGGGAAAGGGAATCAGGTAGAAAGGCAAACGCCTTTATGACTTAGACAATTAGAAGACAAGAATTTAAATTTGGGAGAGAATCTAGGAGTCAGAAGAAGTTAAAGACCGAGTAGGAAAGTATTGGAAAGGATAAAATTTGAGAATAACAAGGCTGTGAAAAGTGGATTTAAGCAGAAGATTACAAGACTGGAAACTCCTTATAGAAGTGAAAAAGCACCAGAGAAGATTAGATTAATTGCATATGCTTCAAATGGCATAAAAATTGGGAAGACTCCCAACACCATGATTAAAATTCTTGAAAATTGGAAATTGAGGGGTAGATTCGTGAACTCCTAAGTAATCTGAAGATTTTGTATTCCAAGACAGTTTGCATGTGACCGGATTAAGGAGATGGTTTGGGGAAATATTTGGTGTATGTGGCATGAGTTTGGGATAATGGCCTTTCTCGCATTGGAGAAAGAGAGGACTTTCTCTTTCTTGGGTTTTAGAAAGAGAAATGGTTTGCTTTTTTAGAAGAGTGGTTTTGGTTAGTATTTTAGTTGGTATTTCATACTTTATGAGAACTTTGTAGATTTTAGGATTGTAAGATTTTACATACGACATGACGACTTTATCTCGAATCGGGATCTTTTGGCTAATAAGAGAGAAAATTTTAACAGAAATCTAGATTGTCATTCGAATGTTGGAACTCAGCATCAGGGGTCTGTTTCTTGCATTTACCTGGAATTTTGATGGATAGATTCTCAAACGCAGGTTTACAAAAGGCAAGCCGAAATCTTGGGCTCCATTTGGACAAGAGTTTTAAAAAGCTTTTCAAATAAGTCTTTTTGAAGCAAAATTTCAAAAAGACTTTTTGAAAAAAAATCCATTTGGACAAAAATTTTACAAAAAACTTTTTGCAATTAAAAATATTAAAAATTCATTTGGATTAGACCTTTTCCAAAAACACTTTTTGTCAAAAAAATAATTATTGCACCTTTTTTTTTTTAATAAAAAGAAATACTTACACAAATTTTCATATTATTATTGCATTTTTGTTTCATTTTAAAACCATTATATGACCATTCTAGCTTATCGAATGCATCATAAATTTGAAATATTGTTATCGAGAGATTTTTAAACATCCAACTCTCAAAAAAAAAAAAAACATAGTTCATAAGACTTGGAATAAATTCACAACTTTTTAAAATCCACACATTCAACGCATATGAATTCCACAATATTTAAAACTCTAACACGCATTCCACATTTGTGTTGCTATGGTCATTCGCCGGTTATTCCATTGGGATATGGCGGGAGTAGACATATCAACTTCTTCTACTTCACTTTGAAAATTGCCTCCACTTCCAGCTTCCTCGTCCATGATTAAATCTTCGTTTGCAAATTCATTGATGATATCATCTTCTAGCTGAAGTTCTTTGATAAAATTATGCACCACACAAATAGCAATCACAAAGTTCACTTGCTTCTTAAAATCATAGTTATTCATTGGCCCTTTGAGAAAAGCAAACTTGCGCTTCAGTATGCCGAAAGTTCTTTCAATCACATTCCTCAAAGAAGAATGAATATGATTGAAATATTCCTTTGAATTTTTTGGAGCACGACCACGGCCTGAAAAGTCCTGCAGATGGTAGCGAATGCCTCGAAATGGCGCCATAAACCCGGGCATATTCTTGTAGGCAGAATCAACCACATAATACTTACCTAAAGGAGGCATCGGAAAAGTGATGTCTTCATTTGAAAGCGCAGCCTGTAGAACTCTAGCATCATGTGCACTGCCTTCCCAACCGGCATAGACAAAGACAAAGCGCATATCGTGATCGCATGCCATCAAGACGTTCTGAGTTATATCACCTTTTCTATTTCTAAATGCAGCTTGCTTTTCTGCCGATACCCACGCTGGCACATGTGAACCATCTATGGCTCCTACACAGTCCTGGTAAAAAGAGAAGAAAACATTCAATATGACAATTCTGATTATGTGGTGTTATTGATGAATTATCCATGGCAAACCAAGAACAGAAAGCTCTGGAAAAATGGAAGCAATTGCCAACAGAACAAGAAAATGGTAACAGTGACAGTAAGGCAAGAAAATCTATGATACACTGCCATAATTCTTTAGTTTCCATACACTGTCATAATCACCCACTCTGAGTATATGATAGTATTACAAAAAATTCAAAACACTGAGGAATAATAATTATACAATATTCATCAAAGGTAAAATACTTAAAAATTACAGGCATAACAGAACAAACCAGTACTAGAAAAGGGAGCTGCAAAGTTTTTTTGTTTTTCCCTAAACTGACATGTGAATAATCAGAGGCTTCTACAAGATCTTCTTCATGTGAAGAGAGGGAGGAAGGAGAAGAAAGTGGTCCTCCATTGATATGTTCAAACAGCTAGCTGTTTCTTCTTCTTCAAACAAAACACTTGATTGAAAGCCAGCCAAGAAGAAACAAAGAAAGCTACTATGGCAATGGCAGAAGCCAGAAAGCACACCACCACAAATAGTTGCCTTCACCAGATAAGATGCAGAAAGAAAAAAAACCCACAACAAATATTGATGGTGACAAGGTCACAAAAAAGGCCAAGAAAGTATTACTATCATATACTATATGTATTGTTGGACCATAACCTCTGAAGAATCTGCAAAAACCAACTTAAAAAATGCAAATGCAGCTTGCCGGTCGTCAAACAATTTCAAGATATCTACAAGTAAATAAGGGCAAAACCTTAAGTAGCTACAGAAATTAGGATGCAAAATCATACTTAGGCCACTATCTTTCATTCACAAATTAAACTTAAGTTGCAGAGGCACCCAAAAAGAAAAGGAAAGGGGAAAAAAAAAGCTGCAAAAAAGATAAATTTAAAAAGAAAAGTCTGAATATCATGCATTTACCTTGAACCAAGGATAAAACTTCGTGATGTTTCTTATTCTTGGATGTACCTCTTGTTCATTCCGAGGTACAATGATAACTGTTGAGAATCGGACCAAAGCTTGCACTACATCATCAATGTTTCGCTGAACTGTCTCTGTTGAATGCTGAAATCTTTCTGAAATCACACATGTTCGCCCGTCTGTGCCAGTTAAATTCAAAAACATAGCAAGAGCTTCCTCAACAGATACTTGTCGCTGGTGGTGCTCTGACAGGTAATTTCCCTCTCGAAGTACATCACACAGTCTCGAAAAAATATCAACCGTGATGCGACAATTTTGAACAATCCGAGCGTGATGTCCAAATATCACCTCCCTCACATACTGATGACCGGTCAAAGCTGATGTCCTACAAGGTGTCTGGCTTAATTTTGTTTTGCGAGCTTTTACCATACGTAGTAACTTCCATTCCTCCAATTCCTCTTCGTCAGATGATGACGAATAATCCATCAACTCATTGTTCAAATTTGACGAACCTTCCATCTTACCTGTGCAAAGATTACCATCAGCATCTATATTCTTTCATTTCTTTTGGAGGGGAATGGAAGAAAGGAAACATTGTTGCATATAAATCAGCAGCAGTAACAAAACAACTTCAAGTGGTGAACTGCAGAATTATTTCAAGTGCATTACTTCAAGTACATCCTAAGAATTAGGCAAGAAAAGAATAAATAAATAATTTCGGAAATTTTCCTCTGATTGGCAATACAACTATTTCCTAGTTTAAAAACAAGAAAATCTAATTTGTCTTTTTCCCTCCTAGGTACTTACTCAAAGAAATCATTAGCTTCTGTAACTTATATCTTTACAAGTGAAGACCAAGAAAATTACAGAGATGTGAATCAACCAATTAGATTAAAGGAAAAAATCCTAGAACATCAACTACTGTAAACTGCAGCATTTTAGAAAGTAGCCAGGCATTTAATAAGATATCGAATATTTAGTTTAGAAATATAAAATACAACACAGCCAACCTCAGACAAATATAAAATGAGTTCATAAGGTTTTCAAGTTCATGAATCTGTTGCCAGCAGACAGATGGGGAACTAGAACCTACAGGAAAGAGGCACATTGATGACCACCTCAGCTATACTCATTTTGATGTCTTCCCACTTTATCCAATACAAAAGTGATTTTAGGCCTCAACTCTAGTTATCAGATAAAATGAAGGAAAGGAACCAGAAATCAAAGACCAGCTCGGACATGAAAGATGTTTTAAGCAAAGAACTAGAGTAGAAAAGAAAGTTAAACGACCTACTTTGAGCCTCATCAAAGCTATTATGTTACAAACTGTCTGCTGTACCTTTTTGCAGTTAAACGACCTACTTTGAAGAAATTATGAGATTGGAAGCAGTTATACCATGGCCCAAATGACAAATTGAAAAGTGACCATAATAAGATCAGATTTAATGCAGGTAGTATATTAAACTTTATGGTCACTTTTTCTGGAAACCAATCCCTGTTGAAAACTAAAACTGGTGTTTATGACATGGCAAAGAAAAGAAAACAGCTGAGAAAGTTTTACTGGTAAAGATGCTAGAAGTCTGCCTGCGTAACGGTTCATTTTCTTACCTGGATCAGTTAACAGGCAGTGATCGATGCTTGACTTGAACTGGAAGTGGGCAACATATTTATGTTCTCTTGTCGGAACATCAATCCGAAGATGATACTAACAGCAGTACTTAATTAACCTGGAGAAGAACAGTCACCAGGAGACATGAAACATTTAGATACAATGCAGTTTGGCTGAAAACAAGAATCAAAAGACCCAAATGAAGAAGGAGATAAGCTTGAATTGTAGCAGTGAAATAGAGGGAAAGCTTGAATTTCTGAAGTTTAATATAGTACCAGAAAAAGTGACCATAAAAAATCTAATTTTAGAAACTAAGTTCCTTATCCAATAGGATGAATTCAAGCAGTAAACAAGCTACAACGAATAAGTGACTTTTTGTGTACTAGCAATATACTCTGATTTGCCTATACTCTGATTTGGCATTAAAATCTTTGGTAATCTTGACCCAAGACTTGCCAAAGTTATTCTGCTTCATTTCGCCCTTCCTTTTATACTCCAACAGTATGTCAACAAATAGCTTCATGTCTCCTTCAGTCCAAACAGTCCGAGAAACTCCGTAACTTTTACCACTACTTTCACTGATATCTGACATCTGAAGCATAGTAAAGCATAGCTCAAAATTAACCAAATGCACATTCTAGTGGTAACCCAGCTAGCATTCCACTGTATCAACAGATTTCACATGACTCGTATGCAATTCAGAGTGACATAACATTCATTAAAATCTTATTGTTACCATGTTATCCCATCCTATGTAAGGTAAGTAAGGCACATCAAGCTGCAAAGGAAAGAAACGTACTAAGATATAATTAACTGCTGATCCTTATACAGCACCTTATAAATGGTTTTCTTTATCGTCCATACTATATGTGAAGAAGCAATTAATTTCTCCTACAACTCCAACCAAACTTGTGAGACTCCAACTGCATAGCCATACAGGTTTAGAAAAGTCCTAGTGCAGAAACTTATTTCTTCCTTTCCACCGTCACATGCTAAAAGCCCAAATTTAATGACCCATAAACAGATTCAATTTTAAATATCAGGAACAAATCAGTTAGGTGTCAAGGTCTTCATTTCTGAAATTTCTGATATAGGGACACAGCAAAATGCAGAGCAGTTAGTACATAGCTGACAGGGCTTTCTGAAAATTTCATTTCCAAGTGTTTGTCAATTTCTATGCTACTAACATCTACAAAGCATAATGTTGCAGTGCGCAAAAATAACAAGAGTAGATCAGTAAGTAACATCTAGTAATCCTGAAGTTCCTAGGCTTCCACAGTATCAATAGGAGCCAGTAAATGGCGCTCCCAAGCCAAACAGATAACAAATACCCAACCATATCCATTACAAAGCCTACATCCAAGTTATACCATCTTTACATAGCTACCGATGGGCTCGGATAAAACAAGTCTGCAAATTCATTGATGAATAGATACACTCGAGATGCTTACACGATTGTAAAGTCATTTCATGTCACCGGATAACTATAAGGATATGGCAACGACCCAAAGATTGCCCTTTAACAACGAATAATCTCTTTAAGAATAATAAATAATCAACTTCAGCTAACTCTTCACAATGTACTACGTTCATAACCTCATCCGATCAAGGGTTCAAAGCCCAATTCAGTAACAAACCTCTAAAACACCGATAAGAACAATCAAACCAAAAGTTGAAAATAAAATAAAAAATTAGTCAAAGCGGTGCCCCTTCTAAACCACAAAGAAAGCACCCTTCCAAACAAAAGTAGACAGGGAAAAAAAAAGAAAAAAAACGACTGATGTTTTAAGCAAAGGGTTACCACATTTTCACTCCAAAATTACAGAATTCAAAATTGCACCGAAGGTCCTCTATCGCCGTTAAAACTATCGCGCTTAAAGCGAGTTTTCAGCATCTCAAGGGTTGAAAAGACTATACTGATTACCATTCGATATATTCCCTCATGAATCTTACTGAAAAAGTTTATAAGCGATCAAAACAAGAACCATAAAACGGAATTAAGAAATCCCGCACCAGCACCCGAAGTAGCCAACAGAAAAGAAATTGAAGAAACAAGAATGTGAATTGATAGACACACTCTAGTAAAGCATAGTGGAATGCTAGCTTCATGGTAACCCAGCTCAAATTAGTTACAGCAGCACAAAATTTAAATTCATGGAATTAAAACGTGAACCAAACCATATAGAGCAAACAGTTAACATAAATCAACAAATGTATCAAGTAAACATAAATCACTAATACAAAGAAAATCCAACAAACAGTACAGCATTTCCGGTTCACAAATGCACATATCTAACCCTTCAAGAGTGAATTCAACAAATTAGTGCATCCAGTTTTTATAGCAAAAAAAAAATGATTAAAAACATACATTTTTGTACACTCGATGAAGAGATGAATCCTAAATGGACGGGAAAAGATATTTTCAGGAATAAAGGAATAAACCCATGAGCACAGAGCTGATAAATGTACCATAAAATCCAAAAAACAACATAAATTTAATTTACATCACAAGCGGAAAAGAAGCCATCTTCAAATCGAAAGGAAAAGACACAAAAGACGTATGAGAGATTGAGAGAGGATGATTGATGAAGAGGAGTACCTGTCACGGGGAGGTTTGCCGTCGCTGTCGACGTCGCCGGGGTGCCGGACGGGTGAAGGAGAAAGAGTGAGAAATGGAAAAGGGGCGGCGGATCTAGGTGCCGGACGGGTGAAGGAGAGAGAGTGAGAAATGGAAAAGGGGCGGCGGATCTAGGGCAAGACTGAAAGAATACGACACTTCTCCATCATATACATTACCCGTTTTTTCATAATCCGGATTTGACCCGAATTTCGACCCGCGAACGGAGAAAAAAGGGCTGTTCAAAAAAATTGAAAAATACCCCCCCTACCTATTTTCTAAAAAGTCTGTTTCAAACCTTTTTTTTTTCAAAATGGTGTTTAGAAAAGAGCTTAATTATTTTGTCCAAATGCATTTTAAATTCTAAACAGACTTTTTAGCCTTAAAAGTCTTTTTAAAACTCTTGTCCAAATGGAGCTTGGTCCTCCTAATTGAGCTTGGTTGGGCCCTTTTTTTCTTTTTTTTTTTCTCTCTTTTTACTTCATGGTGGAACCAAAGGAAAGATCCAAACAGTCCGAGATTAGAGTGATCAAGGAGTGATGATTCATACCATTCCATCAACCTCAATAGTTTTGTTGGAGTTTGGAAACTTGTAGGTTTTTCTTGCGCCCTAATTGGGCTTCGTTCTTGTTTCTAGCTGGCTTGGTTGGCACTTACATTTCATCTCTCATGTCTTTCATGGTTTGGGATAAGTCTAGACGAATGAATATCATTTCATCTCTCATGTCTTTCATGGTTTGGGATGAGTCTAGACGAATGAATATCAAAGATTCAAACCATGAACGACAAAAAAAAGTAGGAGAGAAAAGCAAATTAAAAAATTTCTGGATGTAGGGGATCCTATGGACAGGATCTCTCTACCTTTCCATCCCCAAGAATGGAGAATCTAGATTAAGAATAGTAGACCTTTTAGTTTATCATGTGGCCAAGAATTTGGACAATGACCAATGAAAATTAACAATCGAGTTCGCTTGATTGAATTTATTTGGTGATATACAAACAATATATAAAAATCCACCAATACTATTCCATTGCATCATTGTAGTTCAACTCGATATAACTATTTATGTGTGACAAACTAATAGTTAGGTTGAAAATTTTTGTCTCTCCATTCTCGCAAGTTAGAGAACCCATCACTCATAATTTCGTTTTATTTATGAAGGTTCCGAACCCATTCAAAACCTCCAAAAATCCTAAATAACTTTCCTAAGTTCTTCGTTGAATAATATTTTCTGAGTTTCACCGCGTATTGCATCCAAAGAACTCCCGCTTACTCTTGTTGCGATTAATAACATTAAACTCGGCAATGCCATTCCAACTTTCGTTATTATATTCTCCCCATTTTTTATATAATTTATACTAAAATTAAAAATTCAAATTGAACAATCACTTTCAGACAGAAAAAAGTATATGAGTGTCTAATTAATGACTCTTTTCTTGGAGTGAAGGTTAGCCTGTTGTTAGTCGACTCTAGGACGTAGTTAAGTGCATGAACCATTCATTTCTTATTTTTTATTTAAAATATCTCGTAAACACAAATTCCAATACAAAGTAAATATTATTCAAACAACATTTCAACTTACCTTTTAAACCTTAATTATTTTCACATAATTTTCAAACACCACCACTAGATCACTAACGCCGCCGTCGGACCACCACCCGCTGCCGTTGACGATTCGACGCAGGCAACCGACAGGCCGGCTAGATTCCGGCTATATTCCGACGAGTTGGCCATACTCCAACCGGCCGACGGCAGATGCTAATTTGGCAGTCGTCAAGGTGGTCTGGCGGTGGAGGAAAATAATACAATAGAACTTTTATAAATTAACAGTGTTGGGACCACCAAAATTTATTAATTTAGAGAACTATTAAATAACCAATAAATTGATAAATTATTAATTTAAAGAATTTGTATAAGAAAAAAAAAGTCGTCACTAAATTACTTAATTTGCAATTGTATTTATATCCAATCAATCAAGTGTTAAAATTCTTCTGAATATTAAAAGATTTTTACATAGTTCATCTCATCTCCAACGACTACAAAATAAGTCTCAATAGTTCATATTTGACTAAATTTACAGTTATTATTTTTTTTTCTTTTAGGCATTTATTAAGTTGTAATACTATTAGACCTATAGATACATGGGAGATTTTTTGAAATATTATTATCTTATTATTTTATTAATTTTTCACTTTTTGTACTGGTCCCAAATTGGTACCAGAGAAAATCATTAATTTTAGTACACATTATTAATTTATAGATTATTAATTTACGAACGTTTGACTATTATTTTATTTTATTTAAAAAATACCCAAATAATTTTTTAAATTTTCATTCAAAACACCTTTTAAAACACATCTCATCTAAAACGAAAAAGAAACAAAAACATTGTCCATTCAAGCTCTCTTTTGTATCTATTGCTTCTTCTAGAATCTTTCAAAAATCAACTCATGTAACAAGGTCCCGCACCACTCACGATAAGAGCAAATTAATCGATTGGACATTGTGTTACATTGTACTCCCTCTAGTTTTTATTATAAGATATTTTCATTTGT